CTAATTATCAGTTGATTTGGAATAGTTTTGCTTATAATAAAGTAAATGAAAGTATTCTTTGAAACTTGGCAACTGTTCGATCATTAGGAAAATTAGTGTGTGGTTGAATATTAAAACAAATAATTTCATAGTGGTAGAAATTATTTTCATGCTGATGCAAAAATTCTTTCATAAAATTATAAAAATAAAAGCACCTGATTCACCTTCACTTTACCCTTTTTTATTTGTAAAAATATTTTTATTCAATTGTTAGAAATTGGGTGAGATAAAAATGAAGTTGATAACTTGCTGGCTCAAATCAGTCTCTTTAAATGGGGGTGATATGGAAGTAGAATTAGGGTCATCTGGAATGAGTTTTATTGACATTAAAACCAATGTATATGTTTCTCACCAGATTTTACAGTGTTATGCAGGTGTGTGTATCATAAACACAGATGTGTGTTCCTTGACTTAAATTCATGATAAGTAGCACTGCATTTATTTGGCAGTTTCAGTTCATGCAACATAAGCTGAAACTAAGGGGTGAGTCTGAGCAACAGAACAGATTATTAAAAGCCCCTGTGGCAAAGCTATATACTTTACTCCTTCATTCAGAGCTTTGTTGGTCCTTCCTACCATTCTTAATGAGCTTGATTATCTTTGTATACTATTCTTAATAAGCTTAACTTCCTCTCCTGAAGTAACAAAGTAACAAGTAAGGAGAGGGTAATCTTATAACAAGCAGATTTGACAGCCTGATAACAAGACGGGAAATAGCCAAACTAAAAATAAGGTATGACTGCATAGGAAAATAATAGATGTTTAAAATGATGACTGATGAAGAAAAGGTTAAATGAGCAGGGCATTGGACTAAGTGCTTAAGATACAAGATTTTTTAAAATGACATAATCCTCACCCTTAAAGAATTTTTACTCTAATAGGAAAAATAAGGCATGCACATGAGTAAGAAACAAGGTAGAATGTGCTGAGCACTAAGGCGAAGTTTAGACACAAAAAATGAAGACAACAAAACCAATAACCAGACCACATGAAGGATTACTTTCATTTGGGGGCAATTGGAGAAGGCTTCCTGGAGGAGTTGCTACATGTGATGGGCCTTGCAAGAAAGGAGGGATTTTAGCAAGTGAGATGCGAACTGAGTTCATGCTGGGCATGCAACATGATGTACTCAAAAGCATGAAGGCAGGAGAAGTTAGAGCAAAATTGGAGAAATTTACTTTGACTGGAATATAGAATGAATGATGTAGACTCAAGCATAGGTTTCCAAAGTGGGCAAAACCCTTGGGGGCTGCTGGGGGAAGGGGGCAGTTGTAGCCTCTGTTGACACACATTCTTCCCCCCTCAAAAAAAACACAAACCATTAAAAGGTTAAAAAAAATTTAGATTTCCAGGGGGTGTTGAGTAATTTTTTTTTAAGGGAGTGGTAGGTCAAATAAATTTTGGAACCTCTGAGAGGGAAAGCCTGCTGATTCTGGAGTCGCAGGCCCTGGGTTCAAATCCTGTCATTGACATTTTGTAACCTTAACTTGTGTCATTTAACCTCCCTTGGTCTTAGTTTTCTCATCTATAAAATCAGGGGATTGTACCTGATGGTTTCTTCTTATGAACGTATAGGGTAATGTAAGATGAGGTAGAAAAGGTAGGTTGGAGGAGATTGATAGGTAAAAAAGGTGGTTTGTGGAGCTGAAGAGTTCATCTTTCATCATATAGGTAATGGAAAAACTGTTTAAGGTTTTTGAACAGATAAATAGGATTAAAGGAAATCCTCTTCCTTGTCATTTGTTTTAAAAAGATAGAGAATGACTTGATAAAAAACAACAACAACAAAACAAACAAACTAGTTAGAGGATCATAAACTTAAAGGTATGAGGAATTTGGTGTTCACCAAGCCCAACTCTTTCATTTGAATTGTTCCTTTTTTTGCAACATTTCATTTACCAATAATGCCAGATAAATGTAGTATTATCATTTTTTCCTTTTTTTTTTTAGCGTTTTGGTGAGGCAATTGGAGTTAAGTGACTTGCCCAGGGTCACACAGCTAGTAAGTGTCAAGTGTCGGAGGCCGGATTTGAACTCAGGTCCTCCTGACTCTAAGGCCAGAGCTCTATCCACTTGCTACCTAGCTGCCCCTAAATAAAGTATTATTGCAAATTTTTTTTAAAGGTTGTACATCATGGACAAGGTTTTCCACAAAGACATGGATGGAAGATTGGGAATATTCTGAGGGACGAGATAAGAGAATAAGGCTTTTCCAAGGAAAAGGGTCTTTTTGGAGCCCTATAATTTTCTATGTAATCAACCCTAGTTTCCCTAATTTAGTGTTTCTACTTATATAATAATAACCAGAGCTTGCATTTACATGGTGATTTCCTTTTCACAATATCCTTGTGAGTTAGAGGCAATGTGAGTACTATTATCTGCATTTTATCAGATGAAGAAACTGAGGCTTATAGAAATAAGGTGACTTGCCATATAATCAAACAATTAAAGCAAAAAGCTGAGAACTAACTAAGCTTTTAAGTGCTAAAGCTGAAAACTGAACCTGTGTCTTCTGGACTCTTCTTCACCCCAAATTCACTCCGTTACAGAATTGGCTTCCCTCTGTCAGACAGTATAATAAATGAAGAGTTACCTCTCCATGTCTTCAGTTGGTGGGTGTTCAGGGAATAATAGTTAATTATAACATTAGTTTGAGCAAAAATAAAATTAGAGAAATAAGTCTTCTGGGAGGAGGAGAGAGGGCTGGACATTCCAAAATAGCAAATATTTTTTGATCCTCCATGGCACCTACCTTTATCAAAGACAGTGCAGAAGTGAACGTGGGTGTCTACAATGAACTTGCATGTTACCACTAGTAATAGTAACAATGCCTTGTGTTTGTATAGCACCTGGTTTTTTTTAAGTAGGTCAGAATATTTTACAGAAAAATATTTTTGCTAATGCTAATTTTATGAAAATTGAGACATAAAGAATCGGGGAATTTCAAAAGTCATGAAATGAACAGGTTTATTTAAAAAAATGGAAGGATACTAATACTTTCATTTATACTTTTTGGACAAGCAGGTTTGTTATGGCTTTTCATACTCAATAATTTACTCTGGGTTGCTTCAGTTTAGTTCTTGACAGTCACAGATTAATTAGGTAAATCTAATTCATTTCTTTAGGACCTTTCTTTACAACTGTGTTATCTATTACCAATGCTGGCAACAGTCACACTATATTGGAGCACTGAACTTCTTTTGTGGCCCATGTTAATCCTGATGCTCTCTGCCACTGCCGGCCTCTACCAGTTTGAAGCCCTGCTATGTTTCTAGGATGAGTTTTTCTCATTTAGTCACATTTCTTAAATTGTCAAATTTGCTTTGATCATGTATGATGGAGAGGGAGTCATTTGGACATCTAGGAAGATGAATTACACCTTTAGATTCTTAACTCAAGAAAAAATATATTCTTACTACCATCCTGTCTACTACATTGTCTATGTGCCCCATTCTCTTCCTTCTACTTCCCCCCCACCAAAAAAAAAAAAAGCAAAAAGGCCTCAGAGTTAGTCGGGCCTCAAAAACTTCTAAACTTAAAATAAATTAGTGATTACCACATCATTCCTACCTCCTGGCCATCATCCCTTCTCAGTAAGTAAGCAAAAATTTCTGCCTTTTGTCAAGCTCTCTTCTTTTCCCCCTAATAATGGAAGTAAAAAATGAAATGAAAAGAGAATGGAAAGGAAGAGACAGTATCTTACACTTTGAATCTAATGACAGTTTTACGTTTACATTGATTTTTATTGGACTTGCCATTTCAAGTCTGGACATGGGATTTAACTAATTGTCATTATAAACAGTTCCTTTCACTGGAACTTATTTTATTTTGTAATGATTGTTGTGTAGAAATCTATTGTTACAGTAATATTTCATTTAACTCATTTCAGTAATATAGCACTATCAAAATCACGTTTTGGTTAAGTAGATTTCAGTTGAGTAAAGATCTTCACAACTGAATTTCCTTTCTTATCACATTTAAATAGTAAATTTAAATGCTCTGAAACAAGTTTGTAATTACTCTGAAAGCCCCTAACAAAATGCACCTGTGATTTTTTTAATATTGTATGAACCACAAAGTAAATAAAACAACTCAAAAGAAAAAGAAATAAATCTTCCCTCATTTCTTCATTACTATGTATCATTTTCATCACTTTGTTAACAATTTTCAAGTATGTTAGAACCTCCATTATGTTAATTTGGTTTCCAGCTATTTCTCCGATATTCTTTTGTGATTTTAAACTTGTGATTTATCTAATTTTACTGAATTATTGTCATAATGTAATAACTTTTCTGCTTTAAAATATTGCATGGGAGTTATATATCTAATTGTAACCCCCCAACCCAACTTTCTGACATTGCAGTGAGATGCTATGCATTTCTTTATGTTTTACATTGGTCCATGTTGGATTTTGTACTAACAACCATTTTGGGGACATACTTTTTTTTTTCATCCCAAAGTTCATGAGTCAGGGAGCTGTAATAACATTAAGTTTAATTTCATGAGAGGCAGCCATGATGTGGTGGATAGACTTGTAATCAAGAAAATGAGGGTTCCAGTCCCACTACTAATACATCCTTGCAATGTGAGCTTGGGCAAGTGACTTCTTATCCTCTTATTGCTCTAAGCAACTCTCTAAGGCTTAAAGTTTCAGAGAAGATGCCAACCTGCTTAGGTAAAGGGCCCTGTTCATTCAACCTGGAGCTCCCTATGATTTATGAAATCACTGGCTAGACTCTATCCCTATTCTATCACGTCATAAATATTGCATGTGTTTTCTACATGAACAATATGGAGCTTCTGCCTATTTACTATAATATATCCATGTAATGATTTGTTTGGATTTTGTTGCAGATGATTGATAGGGCAGAATGTTGGCAGTGATGTGAATTGCTGTTGGGCTGTCTTGAACATTGCAGTACTAGTGGTGATTTCTTCTCTTTTTCTGTGTGCTTGTCTAGTCTCGACAGACACCTGAGGGTGAGTTCCTCCCCCTTGACCAACTTGAACTGGATGTAGGTTTTAGTACAGGGGCAGATCAACTTTTTCTTGTTTCCCCCCTCACAATTTGCCACGTGATCGATGCCAAAAGCCCCTTCTATGACTTATCCCAACGAAGCATGCAAGCTGAACAGTTTGAGATTGTCGTCATCCTAGAGGGCATTGTGGAAACAACTGGTGAGTAAAAAAATAGCTATATGATAAAATATCACTGTATCCATATCAATGTTTTATTTCTTCCAATTTTTTTTTATGTACTTGACATCACTTGTCAAAAATTGGACCAAAAAACCGACTGGGTCTCAAATGGTTAGTGTAAATGAAAGTGATGATTTATTGCTTGTTTCCATTTAAATGAAACTTCCCTTGAATACTGTTTGGGAAATTAGAATGACTCAATGAAAATGGGGTGTGTGTGTGTGTGTGTGTGTGTGTGTGTGTGTGTGTGTGTGTGTTTGTGTGTTTTCAGAATATTCATATAAAATAGCTTAAAATTGATACAGTTCTTTACAAAGTGTTTCATTGTTCATTTTGAAATGTAAACCTGGAATATCCTGCAAATAAGTCTGTTCTGTATAACTCTATTCCTTTGACATAGAAAATACAAATTAATGGGTACCTGAGCTCCATATGAAAGTGCCTTTGTCCTTTATACTTGATTGTCCCTGAAAAGATATCGAATATATGAATGTACATGACCTTAATGGAAAGTTGATTTTTTTTAAACAATAGTACACATTAACAGTACATACAGATATTGCCCAAGTGTCTTCTAAAGCAATGTACTTATTCCTTGTTTAAGGTATTTTAGTGAAGACTGTGAGTAGGCACAAGGGTGAGGTATGTAAACTGAAAATATGTTTGCCAGTAACCCACACATTACATGGCTGTGGTTGAAGTGTCATGGGGGTAGAGACTGGCTTAATTTGGAGTTAGGTGGTTAAGTGAAAAAAGTTCTAGGCAATGATCCTCAATAGACTGGGTGCCATCGCATAAACAGAGATATATTAGCTACATTCACTTGATTCTTTTTCTTATGGATGAACTGTACCAGCACTGGGAAGGAGTATTGAATCTTTAAGGCATTAGGAATGTTCAGTTTAATACACACCACTGTTTTTCTTAAAGGAAACTGTTTCTTCTACCTTTTCTTATTAGACATGGTAATCTCCAAGTTTATCCACTGAACCAAAATTGATCATTTCTTCAAAACTCTATTCTGCTTAAATGGAAAGAAAGATGTCGTTTTCTGAAAGAATTGCTTCTCTTATTTATCTCTTACAAACACTAAATAGTACTGGTCATTTGATGTGAGGAGCACTGTTCAGACAGCTCTAAATTCTCACTGTCTGGATGACTTGCCACTTGCCCTCTGGCCAGTCACTTACCCTGTCCATTCCATGGAATATAGAGAGATGATGATATTGACCCCAGAGGTAGCACTCTATGGATTGTGTAAAAGTCTTAAGGAGTGATTACTTGTGAGTTTAACAGTATTAAGGAAACATAAAGAGTTGCAGGAAACCAAACAAATGTTTATTTGTGTAAAGGTTTAAGATCTTTGATAATGTATTATTTCCCATTAGATATCCATCTGGGTTGTCAGTGATTCAGGAAAGAAATAAAAACCAGGTTCAAAATAATTCATAAGTAAAGACTTCTCTATAGCATCTATAATTAGATTCTACTCTTTGGGCTGTTTGAACTCTGTAAAAGTTTTAATTAGGACTTCCTACTTGGGTTTTGTTCCTTGAAATGATGCAGTTGACAAATTAGATAACTTACTTTTTACTAGAACTAGATTGTTTTGGAGGAGGCAGTAGGAATATGCCTGGATCTATGATTTTATCGGTTTAGAGAACTCTCAGTGTGCCAACTCCCTCCACTCATGTAGATGAGCAATTTCTCTGTAACTTGTCCTTTTTGAGAATTGCGTGGGTGGAACCAAGAGGTTAAATGATTTGTCTCTGGTTACGCAGATGATAAGTGTCAGAGGTATAACAAACTCCGTTTTCCTGATTCCAAGGCTAGCCATTGATCTATCGTCCCATTCTTGATCAAATACTTTTTAGATGTGTTTTATTCATTAAAACTTTTTGAGATAGATATAAAGTTGCTTTTAGTTTATTTGTTCAACTTATATGTTATCACAGCTTAGGGACCAGATGTGAGATAAATTTTTTGCTGTTCTCTTGTGGTTATGGTTTCAAATCTCCAAAGAATGACAATTGAGAGTTGAATTCTAGGTACTGGATGTTACCAGCACACCTGTTAATAGTTTATCAAGTGTTTATTATTAATGAGTGTACTGATTTGAAATGTGAGTTAAATGTGGGATTGACAGTTTAAGAAACATTGATTAGTAATTCTGATGCTTGAATGTATATGGCCAAATTAGGGAATGATACTATACACAATATTTATATTCTGCCTATTTTTTCATTAACTGATTAATTTTCATCTCCCACATTAGAATACCTAAGGTGAGTACTTTATTGTTTTGCATGAAGCCATCAGGGAGGTTGTGATAATGAGAATCTTTTAAAATGTCAGATTAGCACTCTCTCTCCTTCTAAACTTAAATGCCAAAAAAAAGAATTTGAAAAGCCTCAATTTCTTATTTAGGGATGTGTGAGTGTGTGTGTGTGTGTGTGTGTGTGTGTGTGTGTGTGTGTGTGTATGCATGCGTGCTGTTAGTGAGAGATTTAAGCTTACTTTCTTGTTATCCTAATTGAAGATTGTTTCTTGACCTAATATAACAAGACAGACATTCAGGAATATTGTTCATCGTATATGTCATTTATTGCAAGAAGTACATCTGACTTTTTGTTTGACTACATACTCTAAAAATGAACATATATGCTATTCAAATTCTGTAAACTTGTGGATTATACCAGAGTTTAAGTATTCTAAAAAAATAGAGTGCACAAAAATTTCTAAATTCTGTTTCAGTCACTCTGTTTAGGTGAAATTTCTTGAAAGAAACTCAGTATTTTAAAGATAAATTTTAAGAATGTATCTTCATTCTTGCATTTTATAATAGTTTTAGAAACTATGCATTAATTAGAATGAGGAGAACTTTCATTGCTTTTTTTTAAGCTGTTAATGTACTGTTCATTCTGAAATCATCCTTGAGTGTTGGTCCCTTCTATGTGGTTAAATATGAGGTTCTGCTTACTTAACTTTAGTTATATATTCTTCTAGATAGTTCAATATCTTTATATTTTTCATTCCTAAGATTGAGATAATATTTACATTTTATTTTACTGGGTGAACTAGAAACTTTATAATTTGATTAAAAACCAGAGGTGTTTTATTTTCCCCTTGCTACTGGACAGCTTCCAATATCTTCCCCTGGGTATTCATATAACTCACACTTGCATATGGCATTCCACTGGGTGACTATTACCTTGGGTTCTAGGGGTCCCCAGTGTGTGGCTATTCCTATTACTGTAGTTCATAAGCCCCTACCAGTATACTTCCCATTCATAGTCAGCCTGTAGGTATAATTATCACATAGCAAAGATATTCACCCAAGATGGTGTAGTTAGAACACTAGGTACAAAAACATTCATCACTTAAGTTTGAGGCATATTTTGATGTAAATGTACACACATCTATGGGAAAAGGGGATTGAAACTTTGATTATAGTGGTAGTAAGGCAAACTTTTAGAATACGTATTTGGCAGAGTCAGTTTACAACTCCTGGTACATCAGGGCCAGAATTTCTTTTCTCTCGACATCCACACACAGTTCCCTTGGTTACAGCATCTCAGTTAGGCTCCCCAGATCTTACTCTTATGCGTAGTCCTACTGTCCTTTCTCCTTAGAGAAATCATGCCCCTTGAAGATGTTTCCAACTTGGGTTTCTGTATGCATGGTGTGTCTCTGCTCTTAGCTAGATAAATCTTTCCCATAGGTCCAGTAGCTGTGATGACATAGTGATGGGGCAGAGGGTGGAGCAATCCCTGTCTTTGGTGCCTTCTTGTAATAGGGATATATGTGCTTAAAAACTTTGTTCAACTCCTGGGAGTCCCAAGCTCCTTAGGGCTTAGCCATTTTAAAACCCTCACAGATAGAGCAAATTTGATGACTCACTCAGTTGTGTTGCTTCCTCTAATTCCATAATAGAAAAGTATTCACAGATCATACTAAGGTCAAGACATAAACTTATCTTTCATAGTTATATAAGACTTCATTAATATTTTATGATTATGGCCTAGGCCTTCTATATCTAACTGAAGTGTGTTTGGGGGGGGGATCATCTCTATATTTCCTAATGAGTAGTCTGATGATCTGAGAATTAGCAACACTCAAGACAGAGTAATGAAATTACCCTGTTCAGAAGAACTGGAATTTTTTTTTTTGCTTCTGTTCAATTAAAGAAAAAAAAATTAAACCCTGCCAGTATAAAGTAAACCTAGATTGAGCTAAGATTTCTCAAATAATTTCCATTTGTACTTCCTGCCAGACTATAGACTATTTATATGTAGGTATCCAAGAAACTGACAAATGTGATTATGATTAGCAATTGAAAGGAAACAAGCACTATTCATGTACTCTTGCTTACTTTACTAGTGAAAGAAAATTAGCAAGAAATGAACTGCAAGCTAGTTTGGTTACTTGAGAACCACACATCATTTAGATATGATAACACTGTCTGAATAATTTATTTTTCTCCAATGGTCATCATTATCTAGAGTTAATTTAACAACCTTTTGTAATTTTATAATTTGATTATGCTTACTGTAGCTCAACTCAGGTTTCAGCAAGTTATAGCATCACCTGAGAACTCAGATCTTTATATTTGCTCAGCCAATGTCCTTAAATAAGCCATTGGCTTGACTCTACATGGGCATATCTATCATCTATAATTGTACTTCCTCAAGTTGCTGTGACCTTTCAGAATAATGATCATTGGAATGGTTATCACTCTAACGCCTTTGATAGCAAGTCCAATGGATGGACTAATTTTTTTTATATATTGAAAATCTCAAAATTAACTCTTAACAAGTTACAAAGCTCTATTTATTTGACTTATGTTTCTTTCTAATTTTATAACACATCTTTTTTTATTCTTCTTTAGAGATAGCTTGACAGGTACTGTGGCTTAGAGAGCCAGGCTCAGAAGACCTCTTTCACATACTGGATATGTCATCCTACACAAATAATCTAAC